ATTGAAGCTTCAATAGTATTTCTTTTTGAAATGTATGTTTTCCCCTGTTGCTTTATTTTAATAGGCCAAAAGTTACTCAATAATCCACCAATATTCCAATTGTCCAGAACACCAAATAGCCAATATTAGAAGAATTTGCTCAATCCCGAACTGTTCCTCAGAATCCACAATTTTTTTAGTTCTCAAAATCTGCCCATTTACTCCCTGTGAGTTATCCAAATTTGTAAAAAATGGAAGTTTTCTTCTTTTGCCTCATAAGATGTTCTATCAAACAATATTTATAATCCAGAATGGCCCACTAAATTTCCCGATGTCTCATTAAACCACCATTTGACCAAGTCAAATGTTCAGTTTTGAGGACAATTCCTATTGTTTATAATCCGCACTACTTTGAAGAGCTTCAAAAGGCTCACCAGTTACTCCCAAACAACCAGAAAGCAAATAGACATAAAATGAAAAACAAAAAGACAGTCTCTCAGGTGTTGTTTGCTTTCACTTTGTTTCCCTTCTTATCAATTCTGGCTTCCCATCAAGGCCTTTTTCAACCATGTAGTAGTATAGTATCTTTATTCACTAGTAGGTGGCATCCACGCTCTAAGTTCCAGCATTAAAAAGAAGCAGAAGATACAACAGCTGTTTGTCAAATGATCAAAAGGTCCATTTTTAAAATACAATCTCTTCCAGTAGTCACATATTATCAGCAAATTAAAATCATTTTTCACAGTAGTACAAGTTCCAGTCCGGTCTTTCTATATTTTAAAACTTCATTGTCTTCCATTTAAATTTCATTTCTCTTTTGGGTCTATAATCTCCATGTGCTAACTCGCACCTTTCCCAGTGCTTTGGAGAGTCTTTCAAAAATTCTTTTTTACTTGGGGTTGAATTTCTAATACAGTAGTTTAAAATCGTTTCATCCAGTTCCAATGCTCTGTTCACAAACTGCTCCAGCTCATTAGTATTTCTTCTTTGGTTGTCCAGCTTCGGTGCGGCCTTAATAGCTGTCTCTCTTCTTCGTTGGTTGGGAGGGTGCCTTGGATCAAGTGGCAGAGCGTGATCAGCAGGGTGTCCCTCCTTTCTTTGTCACCCCTGTGGGGTGACTTTAGCCCGTTACGGCCTCCTAATGAAGAAGGATTGGCCGGGATTTGCGGAGCCACACTACTCACAATTGTCTTGCTGTGACACCAAATCGGATGTCTAACAGAATTGTTAGCCGGCTAGATAATAATTGGAAAATATTTTCAATGCTGGGAGAATGCTACATGAAGAGAATGCAGCGCAATGGGAAAAGTCACTGGTCTATTCTTCAAAAACTGTTGGTCTCTGATTTTTATTAAGGCAAGTCATTCAACTTCAAGCTCAGAAATAGGGCATAATGGATTGCAACATGAGCCAGAGAAACAAGGGCAATTTCATTCTATTAGATTGAAGTTGCTAACCCAAAGCTTAAAAAAAAAACCTTCGTGTGGCATTACTGGCCTCTCTCAGCAAAACATGCATATTTCCGCCCTTCACCTCCACTTTATTATAAAAGTGCCCCTTTCAAAATTCGTGTGTATAAGGGCATGAACGCAGGCCCGCGTCACTTTTTCAGTCCAACTCTTTTCTCGCCTTAAGTGAGGGCAAACAGCGCAGGGCTGAGGGGATCTCCCCGCCTTATGAAGAAGTACACAGCAGTAACCTTTGTTGCGTTTAAAGGCCAATGCGCTGCGAGCGGATGCCTCTCCGGATACCACGTCCGTCCTGACCCCAGGAACTTCTCCGAGCCCTTTTACCTCGCCCCCGCCTCCTCCTTTCGTGAGGGGCATGGCGAGGAGGTCGAAGGAAAAGGAGCGCTAGTCGACAATCACGGCGCCAAGGAAACGCACTCCGACAACTGGGTCTGTCGGGCGGCGCCTGGTTCTTCCCTCGCGCATGCGTACCTCCGCTCCGGGTTCAGCGTTCTCCAGAGGATCTGCCTCACGCTCTCTTTTAAGCCCTTCCGCTCCGTTCCCGCGGCTGGTAGCGGAAGTGAACCTAGCTCAGAGAAGAAGACCGAAAAAACCCGATTCGGGAAGGAAAAGTGGGGATGCGCTTGGATTGCGTTGCTGCTGCTGCAGTGGCGAGGAGTCCGAGCCGAGGAAGTGAAAAAAGAATCTTTCCCCAAGCAGGGCGGCCGACAATTTGGAAGAGGGAGGCACAAGGTGAGTTCTCAGGCGGAGCAGGGATGGGGCAAATGAAGAATGACCTACAAGAGGAGGGGCGGGTGCCAGTGGCTCCTCCTTTCTTCTGGTGAAAGAAACTGGGAGCCTCGCGAGAGATCTCGGTGCATCCCCGCAGCTTTTCTACTTTTCTCTTTAGAAAATTTCCCTTCTCAGCAGACTTCACGTCCGCCTTCCAGGTGGGTGTCCGGGCTGAGCCAGCCCCTACCAACTAGCAGGAGACCGAGTAGCTGGCAGTCTCTGGGAATGGTTGGAGGAGAGCGGGTGACAGATGTCAAGCAAGGAAAGCTATCCCCGAGGAGCCCTCAGGAAAAGGGATAAGGATCTTGGCGATTCTCTCCGCGCTCCCGAGAAGGCTTGGGATTCAGCCGGTAGAGGTCCCCGTGGGTGGTTCTCCGAAGAGCCTTTCTCTTTGTAGAGCTGCTGGGTTACAGAGCGTTTCCTTTTGAAACCTTGGGGGAGGGTGGAGCTTCCTGTCCTTCCTGGAGCCTTCCTGAGAAAGAATTGCCAGGATAAGCAGCAGCGTTTTTGTTTCCTATGTCTTTATCTCCCCTTTCTTTTGCTAGCGTTTCATCACTTACCCTGTTCTCACCGATGTTGCTGTGTTTGAGGTCAGTGGGAACAAACCACCTTCCTGGAATATAGGGGTCTCTCAGCACTTTTCTGCTCAATCACAACCATTGGGCTGCTTGTTGCTGTCATTAAAGTCTTTGTAGCCATCAACCCAAGTGCGGTTTCAATGGGAAAATGAAGGTAAATATTTTGGGGATGGAGTTTATTTGGGGATTGTTGGGGAAAACAGTATAACTGCCTTAAAGAAACAAAAGCACAGCAATTACATTTTGTTTAAACTGCCTTCAGGTGTAATTGAGACATAAGCTTGATATAGACTATATAGTGTTGGACAAAAGTTGTGTAGACTATTGGATCTCTGTTTTGCAGTAGTTCTGCCTTAAATTCATAAAACCTAGTGTTTTGTCTGAACCATAGTCTGATTTTATAGTTTCTTTTGTTGTGGTTTATTTAAAATAATCAAGTGCGATCAGTTTTAGATCACATCTAGTGATTGGCTAGGAAAAGATTAAATATTTCTGTTATATATTTGTTGTCCAAGTAAAGTTTGAATATGATTAAATTCTATTTAAATTAATTAAAATCTTCATATATTTTGAATTCCAGTCTCAAAATTTTGAAAATAGAAATTGAGTTTTTCTTTTCTGTATCAAACCTAGCTCATTAGAAATTCTTTGCCAAAGTGTATTATTCTCAGCTTGTATATCTGTTCCTTTCTTTATCTGGAAATTCTTGAGGAACTCAAAATGTTAAAATAAACAGCTTTTTCAATAAAATTGAAAATAAAATGTTAAAATAAACAGCTTTTTCAATAAAATTGAAAATAATTATATGGGAATAACATCTAACTGTTTGAAATTGCTGTCTTCTCACTGATCTTATGGCTGATTCTATACTAATTGGTTTAGTGCAACCAAGTTCCAGAAATGCCAGCTATCTTCATTTATCATAATTAGTCTAATATTAATAAGAAAATAACTAATTTGTATTTTAATAATGCCACCAAATTAATATGAAAGTTCACATTAAAGGAAGGATTAACCCTGTCCCCTTCAGATCCACCATACTAATTAAATTGGCTGTCCCTGTATTCTAGCTACATTTCATTTAGGATATGTTGGGGCATATTATGTAGTTTAACTCTGGCTGCAATCTGATGCATAGTTATTTGGTAGTAATGCTTATTGTAGAAAATTTTTCTATTTTTATAATTTGTTTATTGAAATAAATTATCTTGCTTGAACAAAGTTGAAACACAGTTGCTTTAAAGAGAAAGATCAACTCTATAATTAAAGTTATGAAATACATAGTAATTACAGAATAATGCAAAGTTTTTCAACCTGATTCTCTAGATATTTTTCACCATATTTTCAGTCTGATCCATTCAGCATGACTAATTATTAGAAATGAGTTTTACTAAAACATTCAGAGAAACTGACATAACAGAAGTGTTGCGTGTTTATATTTAAAGCACCTGATAACATTTACACTAAATTGCAATATATATATTTTAAAAAACTATGAATAGCTCTAGCTTTCTTAAACAGATTTAGCTTCCCACTCAGTCTAATAATAGTGCTACAGTAGGTAGCCAACAGTAAGCATACATATACATTTTAGTAAATATGTTTCCATCTCTTACTATTCTCTTACTATTCTGTAATTTTAGCAACGTTTTTATTGCTATCTAGGCCAGATCTGGGCATCCAGCCCTTTAGTTGTTCCTGTCTAGTCTGCAGAGTGTCAGCGGTGGGGGCAGGAGTGAAGCATTGGGGGGCAGGGTGGTGGGGCAGCAGTAGGGTATATATGGTATATGGCCTCTGGGGAAAATTAATTGCCTACCCCTGATCTAGTCTCTTTAAAAAAGCAGAATAAATAAATGGAATAAGAACTTTTATTCTTGATAATTAAAAAATGAATTAGCCAAAAGATTTATATGTATCTGTAAACATAAACATCTAAGAATTATTTCCTACAACAACAAAATAATTTATGTAACTACCATACAAATTAGTAAGTAGCTCTCACTCATAACAATTTATGATTTTCCCCATCTACAATTGATTTATGAAATTTAATTGTTTATATAAGACCCAGTTCAGCTTCTGAATGTATAATTCACACAAAAACTCTGTCTCTTCATATGAAGCATTAAATTTAATTGTTACAGTTTCCCTAGCCTATAATACTTAAAAATATGGACAAAATAAGAAGACTCTCAAAGGCAGAAATGCCATAATAATAACAGTAACAACAACAACAATACGATCCCTAGTCAGTGTAAACAGCTTAATTTATTTTATAATCTGCTGTTTTATTTTTTATTTATTTATTTTATTTATTTTATTAATAAAATAAAGCCAAGGTGGCGCAGTGGTTAAATGCAGCACTGCAGGCTACTNACATATTGTCTATGTAATAGTATACATGTGATTATATGTTATAAAAATGGAAAATAAAAGTTTGTTGAAAAAAAGAAGTGATAGTGTCTCATTTGTTGGATTGCTTAAACATAGATGATCTTGTTTAACTATAGCTAATCGTGTGTGTGTGTGAGAGAGAGATATCCAGGTACAAATAATCAAGATTTACAATATTCATTAATTAACATTAATTCTGTAGTGTTAAAATATTAAACATAATAATCATATTTGCTTCTTTCTCTTAAGCTATCTTCTTTATTTCACTAATCTTTTTCTTTTGTTTTCCTGTTCCTAACTTCCATTTTTGTTGTCTAACCATTGATAAAATAAGTCCCATGTCATGTAATATTCAGTTTATTATTTCTCCTTAATTGCTAACATTAGTTTATTCCAGTGATGGGTTTCAAAAATTTTCATTACCGATTTGGTGGCTAGGTGGGGAGCATGTGACTGAGTGGGCATGGCCAACTTGATGTCCCTCATGCCCATGCCCAGTTACATGACCCCCCCCCTACCAAGCCACACCCACAGGAAAAGGTAGGAAAAGTTTGGAATTTGTACCTATCTACCCTACACTCCCTTTGCCAGTTGGCCCTATTTCCCCTCCTTTAGCAGCCCCAGCCCTAGCCGCACTTCCTCCTCCAGCACCACCTCTTTGTTTGGGCTGCTTACCTTCCGCAGTGGCTGGTCCATACTCTGGAAGGCAAGCTGACTGGAGTTTTCAGCAGTCCCAGTCAGCCTCCGCTGCTGGGAAGCGGCTGGCAGGCAAAGAAGCCTCCCTCTTTGAGAGCTACTTTGTGGCTGGCTATCAGCTGCCAAAAAGTACTATAGGTCGGCAAAAAAGCTGCTGCGGTCACCATGTTCTTCATTCATATAAATCCCATTGCCTTGCAAGTCCAGTCTGTGGCCTATTTGGAACCAAGCCAAATGAGCAGTGGGCTGGTGTGCATTTTTATGCAGCTCGTGTGAGCGGCAGGCTGGTGTGCATGCACAAATGCATGCACACAGCTCAGCTATATGTACATGCTTGTGTGCCCCAGCCCACCTCTCGCTCAGGTTGAGCTGCTTGTGCATGTATGTGCACGTTGGCCCACTGCTCATGCAGCTTGGTTCCCTTCTCCCATCCCAGCCAAGCCAGAAAGGTTGAGCACTACTATTTTGGATTGTGTGGATTTATTTTTTAAAAAAATCTTATCCTATTTTATAATTTTGTTTTAGTTTTTCAATAATTTAAACAAACTGTAAATCACTCAAAAATCTATATATATTTTAAATAATCAAGTAGCTAGCAAATACAACTTATTAGCACTAAGAAATATAAACTATTGTGATATCAACAATTTATTATGATTGTGACATGTTTCATGAGTACAATACTTTTAAATTATGGTCACGCACAGAATTATTGCAGAGTTGTTTGCTCGATGAATAGTCTTTTGAAGCAAGTAAAACTAAGCAAATACATGCATGCTCAGAATTGGTAGTTATATACTTAGTGGTAACATTGCAGTTAAAGTAAAATTAGTTCTTGTAATCTTCAAAGTGATACTATAATTTGATGGCTTTCTGTATGATGCTGATGCTTAATTAGGGAGCTGTTACTTCTAATGATTTTTTCCTCCAAACACTGTAAATCCAATGTACATAAAATGATATCTCATATTCTTGATAAATGTGATTTTTTAAAATTGCTGCCAAGAGATAAAAAATGGAAAATGGAGTTTGAAGGTAAGTAAGAAACTAGTGTTGAATAATTGGCCCAACTCAGAAAATATTCATAATAGAAAATACCTCTTCATGGAAATTACTCAAATTACTTAGAAACTAAATTTTTAATCTTTTAAAATATATTCCTAGTTTAGCAATTAATCAGCCTCAGGAATTTAAACAAAATTTGACAGATAGATGACTGCAAGCAGTATATAGTTTTTTTCTTTGACATACATAAGTGCTTAGGAAAAAGTGTATTGTCTAGGTCAATTTATA